AGTCCCCTTTCTTCCTCCCTCGCTAAACCTACGGAAGCTCTAGTTGTCTAATCCCAATGGCCATCGCAACAGTGCCTTTGCAGCTGCCGGAGGCGTCCTGAATTATATAAGCGGCTACCATAGACCATTTTCGCTTACTGACGCTGCCATTGCCTACCCCAACAAGCCGGATATTGTGTCGATACCTGTCGCCCTGGTCGTCGCCTTACTTGCACCCGCGTGCATCATTGCTGCCTTGAATTTTGGTGGACTAGCTTTCAACCGCAACCCCGACCGCACAAGAAAAGATGCATGGCGCAGGGTAATCTGGGAAGTCCATGTCGGCTGGCTGGGCCTCTGCACTGCCCTCGCCGCTACGCTTTTCGTGACTGCGGGATTGAAGGACATGGTTGGAAAGCCTCGACCGAATCTCCTCGCACGGTGTGCTCCTGACTTATCAAACATATCTCAGTATATTGTCGGCGGATTTGGAAACTCGCTCAACTCGGAAGCCGAGTCACTCGTCAGCTCGGCCATTTGCCAGCAATCTGACAAACGGCTCCTTGACGATAGCTTCGCCGCTTTCCCTTCTGGACATTCCTCCTTTTCCTCGGCCGGTATGGTCTACCTCAGCCTGTGGCTTTATGCCCGCTTATCGTTAGGAATCCCTTACCTTGATGTCACTTCGAAGAGAACACCACGAGAAACTAGCAGCTGGAACGCACTGGCTTCGGCGAAGGACAAACAAGCAGCACCCCCTCTGTGGCTGACTGGAGCAGCACTTGCACCTATCATCGTGGCACTGTTTATCTGTTCCAGCAGATACGCCGATTTCCACCATGCGGGATTCGACATCATTAGTGGAGCCGTCATAGGGACAGTTATTGGATGGGCAAGCTTTCGGTTATACCACCTGCCCGCCCGGCAAGGATACGGTCCACTCGCCTGGCGTCCTAGGGAGAAGCTCAAGGGTCTTGGTGTTGCAGAAATTGACCGCCCCGGGGACGAAGAGCACGGTGTAAATACCGACTTCGAATTACGGTATCTAGGAACAGAGGTTCCCGAGCGAGTATACACTGGTGGTTCAGGGGAACCTATTCTGGCACCTCGCAACACCCAACCATCCAAACCAAACTAAGGCCGGCAAGATTCCTCGGGCTTTTTGTTGCAGTTTCTCGTCACCATAAGGCCCCTCTACCAGTGGTTTCTTTTGCTGCATCAGAGATTGGTCGAATCGATGTTTTAGTATACGAATGAAGGGAGTATATGTACTCTGACACACGAAAATTCTTTCTAGCCGGCATCCTTACCGAACTAGGAGCCCAGCATAATGAAAGGTGGTAATCGTTATACCAGAAGTAGGCCTTATACGAAACAAGACTCCGATCAGAACCCGAGAACGTGAACTGGGAACATGAGGCCAAAAGTACGTAACAAGTTGATATGGCCTTCTGGAAATTTGGGAGCAAATCAACATATCGGGCTAGCTTGGGAGACTGCTCAGGTATGCAGCTACGCTCACTCTTACCGTGAAGTGAGAGAATGGTCTCAGAGCCAGCTCATGCCAGCGACCCCGTCTGAAGGAAAGATTTCTGGCTCTAGTCCTATTCTGGTCTCATACGGCCCCAGTCTCTGAAAACCTTGCGTCCAAAGACCCAACCTGGCCTGAACTAAGCCCTGGAAGCAACAATAACACCTTTTTGGTGATTCCAGAGGTTCCCCAATCGCCCAGAAAGGATCGTTAGTTGCAGATCGACAGGACACTCATCGCCCAAAGTGTTTGGAATTAGTTTCAGGTACAGATAAGACAGCGAAGCTATGTGCTGAAGCTTGCCGCGTAAGCATTTCTTGGTTGGCATGCCGTCTACTATCGAGCCAAGAATATTGCCTTGGAGTGACCAAGGCTGGCGTCTCTACGGTCTGATATTTCTATCCGTTCTCGGCCATCCGTCCGGTTTGGACAAACATGATACACACTAGTCAGTCAGTCGCGTTTGACAGGCGTCGTTCCTACATACCATTCCGACCTCGATTGCGTGGCATGCTTGCGTGAAAGCTCACGGAGAGGCACGATATCCAATGCTTTGGAGTCCGCCGAACTGGACAACACATCTATGTTACATGCAGATATTTTTGATCTTCATTGGCTTCAGTGCTGGGATTTCACATGCTTCAATGCGTCTCCAACGTTCGTCTCCTCTGCCGGCGTGCCTTGTTGCACCGTGACTTTTTCGTAGAAGAGCCAAGGACCGGAAGTTGATCCTGTATAAATTACGCAGATCTCTTCAGTTACTATGTTTTCTCCAAAGTTCGACCCTCCTTCTCTTCCTTCGACTTGTGTTGATCATGACTATGGAACTTACTCAGCAGTACGGCTCAAAATACCAAGATCCTGAGGGAAAAGAGGCCTCGAAACGGGAGCCGGTGGAACCTCAACCCCATGGTCGAGCACGTTCGCACCATCCACTGAAAGGGGAGCGGCAGAGTCTAGGATTGAAGGCTAACACGGAAGAATATCAGAGTCAATCCTCCGAGCCTACAGGGTCGAGCAAGTCGTTTTCGGAACCGTCCATCACGAAGCCCTTGCCGGCTGCACCATACCACGTTCTAGAGAAAAGACAGAAGAGAGTCATTGTCTACCTCATATCTATGGCCGCTTTTTTCTCCCCTTTGTCGTCCAATATCTACCTCCCAGCAGTCGATCAGATTGCAAAGGTATGTTGTGCTGTTCAAAACAATCTACCAGAGCCATTCTAATCGGAGAGTTAGGATCTTCATGTCACTATTGGCGCTGTCCTCTTAAGCATTACTGTATACATGGTTGTACAGGGGGTGGCACCTTCCTTTTGGGGCGCGCTTGCGGATTCAAGAGGCCGGAGACAGACTCTGATATACACATTAACATCATATTTGATTGCGAATCTTGGGCTTGGGTTGGCACCCAACTTCTCCGCTCTTATGGTATTCCGTGGCTTGCAGGCATTCGGGAGCTCTGCCACAATTGCAATAGGTCAGGTCAATCGCTCTAAGCGCCCGCAGCGACTAATAGCCATGCGTCACAGGCTCTGGTATCATCAGTGATCTTGCAGAACCTGCTGAACGTGGTGGCTTCGTTGGGGTCTTTAGTGGAAGTTTGTGATTCTTTTTCCTTTATTCCCCTAGCCGTTACACTGATGAAACTACCTATAGTGCGTATGCTCGGTCAATCCGTCGGCCCTGTGGTTGGAGGTACACTCACCCAATATCTGGGCTTCCGTGCCATATTCTACTTTCTCCTTATCCTCGGAGTGGTTGTTGTTACGATCATCATCTTGATTCTCCCGGAGACGCTACGGTCTATTGCCGGAGATGGAAGCGTCAGACTAAGAGGTTTTCTGTATCGACCAGTGCTTCCTGTTCTTGTGGATGAACCAACAGGCCAGACGGAAGGAGATCTCGGCGTGCGAGCAGCCTTTTCCTGGGCCGCTGTATTTCAACCTCTGAAGAGCTTGTTGGCTAAGGACGTCTTCGTCACACTCTTTTTTGGGAGCATCATCTACGCAGTCTGGAGCATGATGACTGCCAGTACCGCCAAACTTTTCAAAGAACATTACAGCCTAAGTAACGTTCAGCTGGGTTTGGCCTTTGTACCCAGTGGTTCGTTACAAGACACCAGCAGACACAACGCAAGGACACAAGCTGATCGGAGGCAGGACTTGGCTGCGTCGTGGGCAGCATTGCAACAGGAGTTCTCCTAGACCACGACTACAAGAAGACAGAAAAGGAGTACCGCAAACAGCGCAAGCTGCCTCCTTCTACTAAGATCAACCCAAGAGACTTTTCCGACTTTCCAATCGAGCGTGCCCGGCTCCGAAATCTTTGGTGGGTAGTCATGCTATTTATTGGGACGCTCGCCGCGTTCGGGTTCAGTCTTGGTACGGACATTGATCTGCCATTTCTGCTACAGTTCATTAGTGGGTCGACTTCCTGCCTTGATCGTTTCCGACGTCCGTCACTAACGAAGTGAACAAAAAAGTCTCCGCCACGGCGACATCTGTTTTTAATATCAATTCAGCCCTTGTGATTGATCTCTTTCCCGGCAAATCGGCCAGTGCCACAGCCATGAATAATCTGATGCGGTGTTCTGTTGGTGCGGTGGGCGTCGGAGTGACTGAGCCACTATTGTCTTTAGTTGGGCCCAAGATTTCCTTTGCGATATTGGCAGGAATCACGGCCATGTTTTCATCGCTGGCCTGGGCACAGTCGAAGTATGGCATGCGGTGGAGGATGGAGAGAGAAAAGAAGAGGGGCCATCAACAATCAGCTGTTTGAACAGAGACAATGGGCGCAGACGGTATCGAGACACTTGTGGCGCAGGACATATTTTGACTCTAGATTGTCCTGTGTCAATGCCCCCAAGCCACCATTGGGCTAATCTCCTCCCCCGTGGTTTAGTTTAGACTTTGTATAGATCTTTCTAAAGGGTTCAGATCTTAACCTTGGTTTGACTCTCGCAAAGCGTGCTTTGATCAACCACAGCACGTTTTGGGAAAAGCCCAGCACCAAGTACGTGCCCATCCATCTAAGTTATAACCTAACCGTCATCCGTCAGCTTATACTAATGAGAGGACCTCATTTCCGCCGCTATTTGTCATATTGAAGGATGTGAGGATTCTGCTTCTCCCGTCCAGCTTCGGAAGTTTGATTCTCTGCTTCATTCCACGGGTCCGCTAAGCCTACACCAGCGACGGCGATATGACGAAAACGCCTCCAGCTTCAAAAGCCGTATGAATGAAGCCTGGTGCGAGTGGGACCACGACCGGCCCTGCGACTTGGTTATGCATTTTGAAGTCAAAATGACCGAAAACAGGACAGAACCGGCCGAAAGTTAGCCGGGGTCCGATTCGTGCACGCCCTGGCAGATTTCACAGCCTCCACAGTCAATTTTGGGACGGGCGGAAATGTAATTGTGTTCGTCGGGAATCTGTTCGACGAAGCCATATATTGACACGCAAGAGCTTCTAATATAGACGGCAACCTCGTCAATGATTTCTATTTCGTTTCGGACACAGATAACCATGTTCCATGGCACTGTCTTGGCAAACCTGGTCCAGCCAGTTGACACGGCAGTCCTCTTGATTCAGCCAGAAAGCAACGGGGGCAAATTTGTTTGGTTCACAGCCGTTGCATCGGTCTGAATCGGGGCAGTTGGCATAGACGGTATGTTGGTAGCCAATATCTCGAAACCTGAGGGAAAAACTGTCAGCCAGGAATCTCCGTAAGGCGAAAGGGAGCAATTAATCATGGGGCGATAGTAACATACCAGTGGATTCTAGAGATGTTTTCGAATAACCCTACACCTATGCTGTGCACCGGCGCGTCTCCCCAGCGCTCGTAGAAGAACCCGTTAGAGCGGTCCAGATGTTGAAAGTAAGAATCATACGCATCACCTCTCCAGAAGTTGAGGTCGGCGATCTCAAAATTACTCCAAAAGTGGCATGTGCTGAAGCCGTTTGCCCGAAGGTTGACATCAGGCCTGTGCGTGTTGTCTGTCAGCCATTTCCAGGCGTTGTTCTGGCCGAGGTGATGGGGATTCTCCGTAATGAAGGCGAGTGTTTCCGGCCATAGCGAGGGGAGTGTAAGAGGGTCGTCATAGATATTAATGGTGAATCCGTATACTTTGTCATTGTCTGATAAATACTGGAAGACGTCGTACTCAATGGGGCAAAAGAGCCTATGAAAATAGTTGGATCAGTCAATCCGGGACGAGTGATACCACTCCGAGTTTTTTTTGGGGGGGGGG